AGGCTATGTGAAATTGAATGGAAACGTCAGCTCAACTCATATCATTGTGAGAAAATTCTACTACCAGTCCCTCATCACCTTAGACGAAATAGGGTGGATACATCTCATTACTTATTCTTCGTTTATAAGTAGGCTTTCGAGACTATCAGCAGATCATACAAGTGAGGTGTATTCATCCTATTTCGTGTAGGATGACATATGTGCAGAAATGTTGGGTTTCATAATTGTTGAGCTTACTTCTATTTCGAGTGGAAGTGTGCGGTGAAGAGATTCGAGAAGGTCGTTTCTACCAGAAGACGATGGCATATTTCTCTTGACCAGCTGTCGATTGGCTTTTCTGGAGCATTCCTTCGTCAGGAGTAATGAGGTTTCTTGTTTTCCGGTATGTATGAAGCATCCGGCAGTTTTGTTGAATTTCGTTGTGACGATGCTACCTCGCTCTGATGCTGTCCGTCACATGACGCACAGAAGCTTGGCACAGTTTTTATCGCAATCGAAGCAGATTGCCTCGGAAACAGCGTCAACAAGAATGTTTCAGTAAAGCCAATGGACCTTCCAATCTTTTCACGCAACTCTTTCACTCACTTGTCAGCTGTATTGTCAGTCTTGACAGTCTACTTACAAACGAAAAATGAGTAGTCCACTCGACCGTTATGGCATTCTGTATGTCTTTTTTGGCGGAACCTCTTGCCAAGTCGGTCGGTTCACCGTTCCGCCTTGACGTCATCTCGTCGACCTCAACGACAAGTTGGCGGCCAACAACGCCTCTTCTGCTCGTCTCGAGGGTGCCAGGGCAAAGGTGAACGCAGCCGCTGCTCGACTCGTCCCGGCGTCGAGCCCAGTCTCGGACGGACTGGCAGAATCCCCTTTTTCGGTGCGCAATTGATCTCGAGTATTGATCGAGTCTGGGCGAACCACGTCTTGAACCGTTCAGTGCCGGTATTCACTGAGCCCTGATCGGCCGCGGCACTATCTCGTCCGCCCGACGAGTCGTCAAGCCGAAGCGCTTCACTCCTCTTCTCTCTTTCTGTCGCTCTGCCGCTCCATCTCTCTGTCGGTGTGTCAGTGTGTGTGTCTTTCTCCGTTGTCACGGCCAGACAAGCCGGACCGACGAGTGCTAGATACGGCCGCGGCGACGGCGACGGCGACGGCGACGGCGACGTCTACGTCTACGTCTACGGCGACGGCGACGGTAAAAGTGAACGAATAGGGTGTTTAAGTGTGTCGCCTGGTGTGGCGGGTACCGGTCAAATGTGGAGTTGTCGTGAGCTCGCCAGGCCAGCATGCGTGTAGAGGTGGGCGGCGAGAGTGTGGATTACGTGTGGACCGAGTACACGGTGGACGCAGCGCCGGCGGCGTTGAGTGAGCTGTTCGAGAGCCCGCGCATCCGCACGGCCGAGCAACGGACGCGATGTCGTGTCGAGGTGACCAAGCGCACGTTGAACCGACGTCTGCCCTTGGCCCGATGGGCTCGATTCACCGTCGTCCGGGTGACCGGGCCCGACGACCAGACGGTGGGTCAGTTCAACCGGCTGCTGGAGAAGGCGGTGCCGGTGTACCGCAGCCGGCGCGACTATCCGCGTCGAGCGGCCGTCACGCTCTACTGGAGACGCGGAGACAACGTGGACGAGTTCGCTCGCGCCGTCCTCCGTCCCTATCGCGACGAGAGTC